ACAGTATATATATCTGTCTTACAGTATATGTATCTGTCTTACAGTATATATATCTGTCTTACAGTATATATATCTGTCTTACAGTATATGTATCTGTCTTACAGTATATATATCTGTCTTACAGTATATATATCTGTCTTACAGTATATGTATCTGTCTTACAGTATATATATCTGTCTTACAGTATATACAGTATCTGTCTTACAGTATATGTATCTGTCTTACAGTATATATATCTGTCTTACAGTATATACAGTATCTGTCTTACAGTATATATATCTGTCTTACAGCATATATATCTGTTATCACATACACTCTTTATTATGAGTAGATGGCAGCAGCTGGTGTCAGGAGGTTGTGATTCTGTTGGTCTTGTCTTGTTCTCTGTAGAGTYTGAAGAAGGGCCGAGCATCGATGGTCTGAGCACGTCACCTAAAGGCTCCATCGGTGAGTAAATCAGCTCCTGYTAGACACAAGCTGTCATCTGCACTTTATTTTCTGACCATCGTATGAGTTTATGTTCACCTCATGTGTCCATGTAGCTCATCTTCCACACTCTGTTCATCATTAGTTTGAATTAAAGCAGGTGACAAGCAGCAGGTAACTGTGCTGACATGTTGTCCTCATGTTGAACCTGTCGTCCTGTCCTGTAGAGGACTCCATGCGCTTGTCTCCTCAGGATGGACGCACACCTGCAGGTGAAATAGCTGTTGGCTGCAGAGTTCAGCTGCATGACTGACGTCTCCTCAGCTGCCTCCCGTCTTCACTGCTCTGCTTCTCACAGACTAAAAAYATCCGTGCGAGGAGGGGCTGTAATGGTCTTATTTATGCTGCTCCACAAAATGCTCGTGGCAAAAAAAGCTGTCTTTTCTCAGTCCCAATCAGAGCACAGCACTGTGAAAAAGACCATGTGTGAAGTAGGGCTGTCGTCATACACTAATCTCATGATACGATATTCAATATTCTGTTCACAATACGATATATAACGATATTCAGCRAACGGTACGATTCAATACGATTCAATTTTCTGAAGGATTTTAGAGAGACAGAGTGATTGTGGTGACACTTTGTGACTGATCCATAGACTTGGATTGAATTAAATGAACTGAAAACTGATTAAAATCACCAACTACACAATACCTGTCTCTGATTGGACAGAGTCTACAGCTGGGACAAATTAATCAAAGATGCAGTGAGTTTCCTTTAATTGAAACAGTACAAACTGTAGCTTACAAACCTAAATAATATTTAGTCCCATCAGGTAACTTTGGCCAATAAAGAGCAAATGTTCCCAGATCTTCAGGATTTGTTGTTTATGATGAGAGGAATTAACAGTTAAAGACTTGGAGGTAAATTATTTTGTTCCTGTTACAGAGGAGGAACAGATTATTTTAAACAGCTGAAATATTTGGTTCTTCTATCAGCAAGAAAACAATAATAAATCCACACAATGTGTTGGAAGACAGTGTTTGGTGTCTGACTGATAAACAGTGAGGCTAAAAACAACATGAGGAAAGGTGGAAAAGGACTGATTCTCTGTGATAAAAAAGACCAGGTTTATTTATTTATTTATTTATTTATTTTAGAGTTTTTTTAACAGCAGCTGATGATTAAACTGAAAGCTACTTTGACAAGATTATGTGAGTCCTTTTACCGAGACATTCATCAGAAGTGCTGTGAAAATGATCAGATCAGCCTCTCTTGCTGTGCACAACACCCMCTAAGCTCGAGGCGCTAAGACGCACACCTGTCTGGTCTTCTGTAAAGAGCGCCCCGGATGAGACACTTAATTTATCTTAAAATCCAGACATTCTGACAAATCAGTAACTGTTTGTAACCTTACCTCAGCTTAGAAGGCAGAGGGTGTCGGTCTTTTCTGCTCAGATTCAGCTATCGGAGCATGATGCTAATGTTTACTTACAATGCTAATGCTACCCTTACGCTCTGGCTCCTTAGGAGTAGAGGAGCCCAATGGCTGGCTCACTGCTGCCAACTAGTGGTGAGAGGCTGAACTACAACATAAAAATTAACCATTGGCAGGAAATCTGACATTTTAAACCTTGATTAAAAATTGATACAGGGCTTTAGAAGATCGATACAGTATCAGGAAATGAAATATCGATATATGTCGGTGTATCAATATTTTCCCTACAGCCCTAGTGTGAAGCTGCAGCTCATCAGGGCTGAGCTGATGAACATCCTGCAGCTTCAGACAGATCAGCAGGCTGCTGCCTTCCTTCACATGTTGGTTTCACTWAGAACAAAGCCTGTGAGGTGACACCTCCAGAGCTTCTTGGCTGTTTCAGAATTAACCTTTAAAACAATTAAAGCTTTTTGCAGTAATAAATGTGACTGTTTAAAGAGCTAATGTGTTTAACTCAACATCATCCTTAAAGCTTCTTGTTTTTMCTCTTGTGTTGCAGAGGTAAAGTCTTCCATCATTGGGAAAAAGAAGCCCATGGCTGCCAAGAAAGGGGTGAGTTCACTGACTGTTTTYATCAGCTGCTGATTGAAACATGTCTGCAGGTGAAACACTAACAGCCTTTTAAGGCTCCCACAGACTCAGGCACACGTTGACCGTGAAAGTTTGTCACTTCATACTGGAGCGAAGTGACCGCCTGACAAGTTCTTTAATTTCTCACAATTTCAGTCAAGATGTCAGGATGAGGAGGAAGAGATAGTTTGATTCCAGCTGTCAGGGCTGGAGCTCCTCTGATTGGACCATGAGCTCCCTGCTGCTGGGTCAGAGCTCTTAGCTACAGATATGAATTTAGCTCAGAGTCTGTGGGGTTTATATGTTTTAAAGAGATCTGGGTCAGCAGTTCTTCTGAAGGACTCTGGGTTTGTCTCAGTTCTTGTCCCTGAACATCTGTTAGTGAAGAACCGAGGAGTCCCTCTGAATACTTGACTCGTGTTTCACCTTCATGCAGCTCGGTGCAAAGAAAGGTCTGGGTGCTCAGAAGGTGAGCAGTAAAAGTTTCTCTGAGGTGGAGAAGCAGGCGCAGGTGGCCGAGAAGCTACGAGAGGAGCAGGCAGCCGAGGCTAAGAAGCAAGCCGAGGAGTCCATGTAAGACATCTGTATATTCAGTATATTTTCCAGAGGTCTGGTCCTGGAGCCTCTGTGTGGTTCAGACTGCAGTAACTGCTCTCCTTACAGCGTGGCCTCCATGCGTTTGGCCTACAAGGAGCTGGAGATCGACAGGAAGCTGGAGGAGAAGAAGCTGCAGAACCTGGAGGGCAAGAAGAGAGAGCAGGCTGAGAGGCTGGGCATGGGCTTCGGCAACAGGAGGTAACGTGACCTGGGCTGACCCCTGCTTGACCCCCTGCTTCCTGTCTGCAGGTGAGCCTCACAGGTGTGTCTGCTCCTGTTTCAGTGCCGTGTCTCACTCCGTGATGTCAGAGATGCAGGTGATCGAGCAGGAAACACCGGTGGGAGCCAAGTCCTCGTCCCGCTCCAAACTGGACATGTTCGATGAGCCCGGCTTCACCTCTGGACCCCCAAAGTGAGCAGAACCACACACCTGTAGACCCCAACATGTCTACCTGTTTGTTGGTGCACCTGAACAAAGTGAAGACCTCCTGCTCTAATCTTGTCAAAGGCACAGTTTGATCTTRGTTTAAATCTTATTTAACTAACAGGAGGTTTTCTCTTCACACTGGTGATGTTCTTCAGCAGCTCCTCTGACTTCTGGGGTCCCCCAGGGGTCCCCAGAAGAACGACTTCTTGAAATAAGAAAAAATTGAGTCAAATCAAGTATTTCAAGAATCTTACCAAGTAAAATGTTCTTACTCCACTGACAGAAA